TCGGTTCAGTGAGCTAGTGGCCAGAGCGCAAGCTGTCTGCCGTCCCTCTCCATTTCCTCAGTGCAGTAAACGGGATGAAGCTGCACTATGTCATGTCTATGGTGGCCTGTCTGCTTGACAAGGTGTCAGACACAGCTTCGGTTCAACCCCCTGCATCCAGGCAGCAGCTTCCAGCACATGCAGTCCTATCCTTCTGCTTTTAGTCTTGTCTACTGTGCCCCCAGCCTCCAGCTCCATCCTTGCCTCCACTGTCCTGCCCCCTGAAATATGGTTTTTAATAAAGAGCACGGTAAATGGCTGCTCTAGCGGCAATAAAAATGAAGGATCTCAGGCCCTTGGCTGAGGAGTGTCTTGAGGAAATAGGAATGCAGTGAGACAGTGCTCTTGCCTAGAAGCCTGGCCACACAGGACAGTGAGGGTGAAACACTGTAGAAGGAGGTAAGGAGCAAGAAAGAGATAAAGGGCTTAAAAATCACAGTTCAATCCACAGGAACACACGTATTTACATTATTCGAAGAAGTTATTTGAATTTCATTTGAGTTGAAGAAGTAGAAGGCTACATAGTGGCCTGGTGGGGAAGGGCACGAAGCTCATTTGCATTCAGAACAGTGACCCCTTCTACCGCCATCTGCATAAAGATGGAGGAGAGAGGAGAAGAGGCAGGGATGATTTCAGGGAGGAGAGAGCAGAAGGGGTGAACAGATGCAGAAAGAAAAGAGAGCTGTGAATTTTCTTTTGTCCAAACAATAAAGCAGAGAACTTGTTCAGTGAGAGTATTTGTAGGTCTGAAACAGATAAAGGCACGACTTAAGGTAGAATGGGAGGATAATACTCAGGAGATTAAATGTGTCAAAATCAAGTCGTGCAGGCCAGATTTGGCACCCAAAACATTTTGATCCAGGCTGCCGATGATTCTGTGCTGCCAATTCATTTTGGCCCACTTACATCCGCCATGAGTGGGAATGCAGCTGCTCGCTGCCAAACACAGCACAATACAGCACCGACGTCCTCCCTTTAAACATGCTTGACCATCACCCACTGATACCAAGTTAGTAAGTTAACCCACAAGCCAAGTCAGGTTAAGTCAACTTTACTTTCATAGTCCAATATTACAAGTCACAAATTTGCCTCAAGGGACTTCACAACCCTCAATATGGATGAGTAAAAACATCTAAAAGAGCTCAGTCTAGCTGAAACAACACTAAGAGTTCACAGCTTTGAGCTAAATGCGATGCTAACATGCTTCTCACTGACAATGCAGATATGCACATGTTTAGCACATATGTTTATCATGTTCACAATCTTAGTTTAGCATTTTGGCATGCTAACATTTGCTACTTAGCACAAACAAAGTACAGCTGAGGCTGGTGGGAATTTCATTAGTTTTGCAGGTATTGGCCATAAACACAGTACTAGACCACCTAATCCAACCACCCAATAGCTGTTGATAAATCTCATTTAAAACCACCTGAGATACGTATTTCAGTCGGGACATTGCTATCCCTGGAGATACATGGCCAGCACGGCTAAAAACATTAATGCAGAGCTAAACGCAGACAATTTGAAGACACATGAGACACCAGATACATCTTGACATGTTTTTATTCAATCAGGATGAGCGCTGTGTAGACTATTTGAAGAAATTACCAGTTTTATCTCAGAGGACTGTGTGAAGTTTAAAATCAGGTGTGACTTTGCTTTTTTGTGGTATATCATCCTACTTAAAATATGCTTATATGTGAATATAACACTGACATTCGAATCTTCATTAGAGTCCCGATGACGCAGACTAGCAGAGCTTTCGAGTGTTAAACTTTTAATAAACAATGCCTGAGGATTTTTTTCCCCAGACCTTTAACTTTATTAAGTCATGAAAATTTAACATCATAGTGAAATACTTACATTTTCAGAAGGCTTTGAAGCTGGTACTTCTGACATAATCGCAAGTCTAACACCATGTAAACTATTTGTGGGATTGTGACAGCAGTTAAGTGCAAAATGTAGTGTGTTTGATTTCAGGGGCACTTCACTCTCCTTCAGTCTCTATTTCTCTCTCAAACACACACAAGGCAAAACATATCCTTGGGGACAGCATCAGCCTTGTGTAAGCAGTGACCCCTGACAATAAGTGACAGATTCTGACAAGCAGACAGGGCTACATGTAAAATCAGTCTCACTCATTTGCACACCTTCTCCCCTGGGAGTGACACAGGACTCTACATCGTCCTCTCTGTGAGTATGTGACGTACTATACAGCATACGTACTTTAACCGCAGAGCTCTCATTCTACCCATGTATGTACACTTTCCAATATATTAAGAGTAGTTCAAATCATTTGACAGTCATCTTCTCTGTTCAGATGTTCACAAAGAAGATCTGCTTCTTAGTTTTTCTTCACAGCGTCTCTGTTGCCCCACTTTATACTACAGTAATACTATATATTTTTTACTAGCAATTAATCTGTTTCTGTTTGTTCAGCCATGGGGAGCATTAATCAATAACATTGACACAATCTATGGTTTCAGCTTTAGTGTTAAAATACAACAATGACTTCATATATGAGCAGCAGCAGCAGAAATGCAGAAACATGTGGTTTCCAAGTACTCTCAGGCAACTCTCAGGTGACCCCATTAATCATAGACTTTTTAACATTTTATCATTAGCCTTGCTTACTAACATCAGTAGCATATGCTTTGCCTCCAAAGTTACACTTTGATCCTGTGTTCTTTTACCTGCCCATCGGCTTTCTCAAACGCTCTCCACTGATCATTAATGCAAGAAGTACACCCAGATAGCCCGTGAAGAGGTGGAGGTGATCTTCAGTTTTTTACTAATTTCACCCCAGGAGGCCTAAACAAGGTTTTTCTTTGGTATTGTATTTGCTATATTTTCCTCTAACCTGCCAAGCTGCCAACATTGTATTCCTAGTCTAACCACAGCAGCCACCTTGCTGCACCCATGCAAAACAAACCTGAAGAGTTTGAAAAAAAATAAAATAAAGGCATCATTCCAGTCAAACCATGAAAATGGCTTCTGCTACTGAAAACACAGTCAATTACAGCACTTTGCTGATTAGTTTGATACAAAACCAAAACATTTATAACTGCAACCTTTGTAAGATGGTTTGTCAGTAGTTAAAATCCAGTCATCATGAGTAATGGTACAATAAACAATAATGCAGTGGATGACAATCTTAGTCCTCCAGCTAAATGAAATGATAAAAATGTGCATTTAGTTTAGCTTACTTGCTAATGAATAAAAGCAAATGTCTTTTTCATGTACTCGAATGGACCTCTGCAACTGGCAAAATGGTGGTCACATGACCGTCAGGGGACACCAAACCCACACTATGGCTAATTAGCTAATCTGCGAGCATGTTTAGTGCCAGTTTACCACAGTTGGCTGTATGCGCTGTTACAGTGTTATGTAATAAGACCACACACACTGCCTCTAGGTCTGATGATGTTGTTTCATGAGCTTTTCAAATGTCACACTTGATATATTTTAGCAGGAACTGGTTATTGAAATGTAGTTGCATCCGGTTCATTATCTGACATATCTCTAGATATTTTGAACAGTGCTGGTGGAGGTCTTTTGCTGGACGACAGAATTTGTATGCAATTATATACACATTTAATATATAAAATGAATATTCATATTCCTTAAAGATACTTAAATGTAGCAATAAAGAGGGTTGTGTTACTGCGAGTGTTCCTAGTTTCTTACTTAACCATTGTTTATACATGAAATGTACATTACTGGTTTACATTACATTCAAATCACAATGTAAGTGTAAGTCACTGGTTTGTTAAAACTAAATAGAGGAAAGAAGAAAGAAATGTGAACTTTGATTTGATTTGCGTATCTCCCTTTACTATAGACAGTTTCAACACATTTTTCAAGGACAGTTCCATTATGGGATTATTATTAAGTATTCTCTCATGTTTTAATCTTTTTACAGTAGAAACAGACAAGCCAGCAAGGCCACTAAAAAGTTTGTTCTGATCACTCATTAACCAACTCAGGCATTGAATTCACTGACCATGAAACTGAATCTGTTGCAGTTATGTTGACGTTGGTGATGCTAGCTAGTACCGTAGTGGCTTTCTACTTACGGATTAATGTGGTAATTTAGAAATGAATGAATCAACAAAATAAAAGAAAACTTTCACAGGTTTTGGAAAACTTTCTCAATGCAGTGACATACATCTGTGAATAGATATTTTGCTTTTCTACTGGTTCAAGTAACAAAATGTTAATGGTGTCAGTGAGTGACTTTTTGATTTACAGTAGTGGTTCACTTTGTTCAGTCACTCAAAACACATGCGACTTACTCTGCATTTCTCATGTGAAAGATTAATGTTGGCAAGTTCACACAATTAGTATTATGAGGATATAATGCTTATGCATGGTTTAAACAAATTAGTGTTAGTCAAGCTAAAAGGTAGCTTGTCACAATCTGGCTAATTAGTACAAAAAGCATCTAGCTAGTAGAACATGTTCTGTATGAATTTTGAATATGTGATGAATAGTTAAAATTAATTACATATGAGCAATAAAAGTTAAGTGTATCTAATAGCTTAACAGAGTATTAGCTCAACACAGATTGCATATGTGAATATGCTGCAGTAATAACAGAGAATGACATTAATACAAGCCCAGGAGATTATCAGAGAATATATCTTCAGTAATCTTCTACATGTCTTCTGGCTCACGTTAAGAGCTCTTCTTCCATGGAATATAATCCTGACTAACTGATCAGAGTGACTACTCCAGGGAGTACGGACACAAATATGAAATTTGAAAATGATTAGAAAGGGACTAGCTGTTCTTACACTCTAAAACAGTTGTGACACACACTAATCTTTTCTCTAAAGGAGGCATATCTGCGATTTTACTCATATACCGATCTATTCCTGACCCCTCTAATTGCAAAGAACAGTTTAACAGGCCAAAAAAATCAGCTCTCCCCCTACATCTGGTATGAGAGTCTCACTCACCATCTTCAGTGGGTACATAGATGTTGAGGTAAAGGCAGTCCTCACTCTGGTTCTGAACATAGGTCGCTGCAGCATCCAGGTTGTCTGTGAACCACACTGGTAGCATGATCTCAGGTAAAACCCCGTGCACATTCTGGGGACACACTGGCGCAAACTGGGTGGCATTGCGAATCTCTTGCCAGGAGCCTGGAGCTTCAGGAGGCTGGAAGCGCCGCTCGCCGATAGGAGCGGTGGCATATGGCACACCTAAGAACTGTTCCACAGGGCCCAAGATCTCATTGCTGAGCTCCCTCCTGATACCACGTATCTTTCCATAGCCTGTGGATACTGTAGGGTGCTTCAGGTCAACCCGTTGGCATGAGGAAAGGGTGAGGTGTAACACTAGTCCCAAGAGCCACAGCAGACAGTGATTAGCAACCTGCTGAGAAGTATAATGACGCTTCCCACCATAGCCTTGGTGGCTGGCAGCATTAAGAGGAAAAAACAACATGTCCAAAATAAAGGCTCTTTTAGTCATATCACTAGGACTTCAGCGGGGTGTAGAGAGGGATCACAAACTCAGTGGGTTATGGGAAATAACAAAGGCAGAAAGAGGATTTGTGGAAAGGGACAGGTTAACAGTTTTCCTAGGGTGACATGGTGATGCCGAGGAACAGGTAGCATTCTCAGGCAGACTCTGTGGTCTCATCCGTCTTCCCCTTTGGAACTCCTGATGGGTCCAGAGCTGCAGTCAAGAAGCCAATTACACCTGGAAGACACAGACAGGTTTTGAGTCAGTGTGTGTGAATAGGTGTGCTCTTTAAGCCCTGTCAGTGTGTTTAAAAAGGCACAAGAGGAAAACATGGGGAAGCTGATTTTACCTAAGATGAAGTGTCTGGAATAATGACACTTGACTGCAGATGACTCCTTTGTGGTACATTCATATTAACCCAAGGCTAAAGCTTGATTTTCTTTCTACAACAGCCACCAAGGATTATATCTCTACTGCCATGTGATTTAGTGGTCTTGAAGACAATTGATATAACTTGTAAATACTGAGAATTTAAACACTTACAGTAACGCTGCTTTACTTAAATTGAATTCTGTTGTGACAAAGTTGGAATTACCCTAACACCAATGCTGCATCTACAAAAAAGCCAACTTTGCAGACTTCATACACAGAACTAGTAGTTAAGATGAAGCAAACAATGAGCCTCAATCATTTACTTTTTTGTGTGAATAATCAAAGCACAAGCCAAATTAAGTAAAAACTCAACACATACATTGCAGTAGAATTCACCCAAAAGGACTAATTGTTATAATGATTGAAAACATATATACTTGAATTACAAATTAAAAAAAGAAGTGATTCAAACGTAATGCATTTCTGGTTGGCAGTAGATGACAGAAAAGCAAGATATTATCAGTGTTGGTGGATCATCTAAGTCCACTTATAGAAGAAGGTTCTGCAGGATATTTGTTTTGATACGTGGTTGTCAGTGTCCCATAGTTATAGAATGTTTCCAGGCATTCTGTACTGTACTCTGATGTGTGTGAACTGCATTGTGGTAAATGCCTCAAAAACGTCTGCCCATGTCCTGTGGGCTAACCCATTTGTAGCGTTTTTTCCTGATTCACAGTTTTTTTTACTTTTTTTACTTAAATGTGGATAAATGAAAATTCTTATCTTCCCAGTCAAGGTCATAGTCATCATTATTTTTGGTCACACAAGAAGCTTGAATCTATGGATGGCAATGCCGGTCTGTTGGTCAGATGGTCTGGCACTTTGGTCCCCATTGGGGTTGGAATAGTATGAGAGTTAATAACCGATAACCGTCTCAGACAATATCACAGTTGCATGGTGTAGACATTGGTATTGCACATTGGTATTGCACAATTATTATCAGTTACAAAGAACCTTAAAGAAAACCCTATATTTATTTATACTAATACTAATACAGTAGAATGCATCAGCTGCAACCACAATAATGACTGAAATATCTCAGTAATGAATTGCATTGGTACCACTTTGGTTTATGGCCATAAACCTGCAAAATTAAAGACATTCCTGTCAGTTTACTTACAGAAGCGAGATCTTACATAGAACTTATTTCTAACCAACAACTTATGCAAAATGTGTGCCATTTCACAGGCATTCACTGTTGCTGATAAAATGCTGTCTATAATAAGAGGTACAATTATTTTTCTCATTAAATCTCAAACCACCAGAAAATATAATACTGCATTCCTCCATGTTCAATACAAGGGCATTTCCTGTATCCATTGGTGTCTTTCCAGATTACTCATTGTTTGCCTCTGTGTATCTGTTCTCTTAACTGTCATGTTGGCCAACTAGCTCATTGCTACCTAACCAAGAACTACCACTGTGAGTCATGTGCATGTAGTTTTTGTTTTTTCTATTTACCAATCTCTTCTTTTGTGCCACTGTAATGCCATCTGACAGCATTATCAATATTGACACACAATTTGAGTGACATCTGTAGGCTGCCTTTTGTCACTACTATTCATGATAAGTAGCTTGCTTTAGCCTCTCAGGCCAGACTCTTGGTTTCCTAAATGTGTCTCAAATTCAACTTCAGATGTCAGGCCCTCAGCGAATATCTGGCATGTGTGATGCGTCCCTAATACATTTTGGGTGCAAACACGTCTGCATTTAGATTTGTAGGATTGTGATCACATCACCCCAGACACACTGGTTGCAAAAACTTAATTTGCGGTCCAAAGGGAGAATTTGTCAATGACCATGGTGTAATGTGGCCCCTGCTTCATATTTTCATCTTGCAGATAATTATAATATTTTGAAGTGTAAAACACTTGTCTTGTAATCATCTTCAATCCACAGAGAATGCAAAACAAACAAAAGCATGTTCACACATTATTCTGAGGAGTGAGCAAGCAAAACCCCATTGGCCCCGCACCCCTTTCAGCCATCCACACTGTGTCAGAGTTAGCCTTTCCCTCTCAACTCAGTTCAGTTGGTTCTTGCTTCCACATCATTACAGATGAATGGGCAGTGCTTATCTCACTCTGGCTTTGGGAGACGGAGCCGTTTAGGTGTGATAAAGGCTTTATGTGGCGCTAACTGTTGGTTGAATGCCGCCTCATCCCTCCACCCTCAACCCTGCAATATCCACACTCCACTGCCAGCCAGCAGACACAAGGGATGACAGTAAAATACAGCGGAAAGATGGCGTGCAACATTACAGAAGGTTAGTGATGTGAGTGGTATTGTTTTATAAGAACAAAACAGGAACAAGTTGAAAAATATTCAGTTCATTAAAGCCCTCTGAGTGACTCCATCTTATGACAACTACTCATTCTGAGAAGGTAAGATATGTAAGGATACCCTAAATTCTCATCAAAAAAGTGGTGTGCATACATAGTCAAGCTGAAAATGCAACTTAGAAAAATATTAATGTGAATATACACAGTACATGACTAGCTAAATGTTGTTAAGAGAATCCACAAGACTTATTTGGAATAAGAGGTAGGGCTGGGTGATATGGCCTAAAAAAATGTCACACCACACCCACTTTACGATTTGAATTGATTTTTCCCCCCTAAAAACCAACTACAAAAGACAGTGTATCTTTGGAAATGTGAATGCCACTGCATCTGCAATGTCTTATCCCATAATATCCCATATGCTATCTCATATGGGATATTATGGGAAACAGATTCTACACGTTCTGTGTAGATGAGAGACTTAAGGGGAATGGGGCTTGTTTTACAGTGTCCTTAGCACTAATATATCAACACATTATAACGTCTGTATTAAATTCAAATAATTAATCGATTAATACATTTAAATTAATAATCTATTTACCTAGCCATGTACATTTAAAGCAGTAGTTCCACAATATTTGCTTTCTTGCTAAGAGTCAGATGATAGTAATGTGAAAAAAAGGGGGTAAGTTCAAAAGAAAGACATAAAATGATGCAGAGAGAGACTGCAGTACTGTTAGTAACCACACACACACATTTATAACTATACAGAATACTGTACAAAGCCTTCGGTTTCAAATAACATTAAATTACACAGAGCTGCTATCACTGCTCACTGCTTACATTTCTTCTTGTTACATACCTATTTTGATTGTAAAGCCATCAGTGCTCTTAATGCGACTAAATATATACCAAGGCCAAGGTCAGAGCCCCATCAAAATAGACAGTAGCTCCAGGGATGTACACAATAGTATGTCCTTACTGACTGGGATAGCATAGGTGCGGGATACGTGTATGTAGCCTGTCAGATTGCTCTCTGTAACGCTCGCCTTCCTGCATGTACTAGCAATGACATAAACACACATGCATAAAATCCAATGAGGCACGTGAATACAGACTCTAAGTTAAGCACGTACCGGTCTGTTCTCAACCTCTCACATGTGAGTTGCAAATGGTTGTACCCTAACATCCCTAACATCTGTTCACGCCAACCATCCGTGAGCTGAAACAGCGTTGAGCGCGCATCTTCACTCATAAAATGGGATAAATTGACACACAAATCACTAGGTTGTTTCCTGTTCTGTTTTATACAACAGGGAGTCCTGTCAGCTGTTTGTGAAGGTAATGTCTCTCTGCCAGTGGGACACTTTTAAGTATATGTTTAAAATGGTTTGGTCAGAGTGGTTTGTGAAAACCTTCGCAGGATGGTGGTGCTGGGGGAAAATGCTGGCCCAGGGATTTTAAATTGCTTTGTTTCCTCTTTGACTGTTAAAACTACATTCACTACTTCAGTTGTCAAGCCACTCTCCTCTGCTCGTTGACATCTGTGGACGACAAGCAGCTTAGCAAGCCAGAAACAGAGTGCTGAGTTTTTGACCAAACTCGGGTGTCTCCTATCTACTGTCACAATGCTTAGAACATTTTTTTATTAAAAAATAAAACAGCTCTGATGGCTGTATGTTTGTATCTATATTTTCCTGCAACCAACATTGTCTAGATACAACAGTCTCATGGAATGATAACTGGAATGATACAAAGCAAATTCATTTAATTTCTAGCGCCATAAAAAATGCATGAGTTCACTGAACTGGCAACTTAGCAGTTAGCGGCACGCTACAGGTGTCTTATGTCTTCAAGATTCTAGGGAAATAACAGATGTGGGAACATGGCCTGTCACACCTCCAACTGAATAGACTGATCATGCCTCTGTCTTCTACTGCCAGTGGTTGGGAGAACTACCAGACAAACTGGCCTTGGATGAAATAAAATAGCATATTTAGCTACTTTATTGATTTTGTTTCTACAGACGGTGAAGTGATGAACAATCTGAAATGCTCTGAGGCCTATCGGTACTTTCACAGTAACAAAGTGGAGCACGTTTTATAAAAGTGAGATTATGTAACATTTAAAAGAGGAAATACCATATTTTTCCTGTTATGAATAAGAAGTTGAATTTATGAGCAGTAAAACACACTCTTGCACGATTTAATACTCTAATAGTTTTTGCTATAACAGCCTTCCCTGGTAACCAGTAGCTTATGACAGGTAATGCTGGCTATTGTTAGAAAACTTACATTACTATGTAACTGACGTTATCGAGCCAGTTTGCTCACTTGATGACCTTTGTACTGATACTTCTATATACTACTTTAGCATTCACCATAATCCTGCAATTGTCAATTGTGGCCACAGTAGCTGCTATTCAGCAAGCGTTACAAAGTCTTGCTTTAAAAGAGGTGGAACAAAACCTTGTCTATCTCAAAGCAGATATACAGACAAGTTAGACCTTTAAAGTCCCACATC